TTGAAATGATTTGTACTTTTACTTTTACTTTTGATACTTAAGTATATTTTAGCAATTACACTTTCTTTTGATACTTAAGAATATTTAAAACCAAATAGTTTTAGACTTTTACTCAAGTAGTGTTTTACTGGGTGACTTTCACTTTACTTGAGTCATTTTCTATTGAGGTATCTTTACTTTTACTCAAGTATGACAATTGGGTACTTTTTCCACCACTGTAGCTACAACGGTCCCACTTACAACAATCCCACCTACAACCCCTCAAATTAAAGCTGACAGTCTGCACTTTAACCTCATAGTCATTGTATCATTTCAGATCCAAAGTGCTGGAGTACAAAGCCAAAACAAACAAAACATGGTCACTGTCCCAATACCTTTGGAGCTCACTGTACATACATATTTATGTTGCTTAATTTGCCTATATTTCCTTAATACACCACAGATGCACACAGAGACACACTAACACATACTGTATTTTCTTGTTTGTGTGACCGTTACTGTTAATAAGGAAGTAACAGGCAGGGGAATGGTCTGTGCGTGTGTGTGGTTGTTTCCAGAAGAAAAAAAGAGAAGTATCAGTAAAGCAAGTTGCAAACAGCCATGATATGCAATCAGAGGTGACAGAGAGGAGGACGTGTGAGAAAATTAAAAGTAAACACTGGTGGAATTAAGTAGAGTATTGGTATAGCCTACTCAGGGCAGGAAGATTATCAAGGCAGGCCAACATACTGTTGCTTTTAGTTGAAAATACCTTCAATAGAAAATAGCAAATTGTGTGCGAAAGTCGAGTAGAACAACAAGTTCAAGAACCATTTCAACATTTGTACAGTGATAACCCTGTTCCTTAGCATGGTTTGGTCTTCATCGCTTACAATGAGATTAGCTCACGTAATAATGTGCCTATGTGTGGCAGGAGTGTTGGTAAGTCAGTTTCATTTTACTTCTTGTGTTACTAGAATAGACTGCGCCTCTGTAGTTTCACGTATGCTTGTGGTTAGGTTTGACCGGTTTTATTTGAATTGTCTGCTTAAAATAAGTTTATTCAGTTGATTAAGTACTCTCAATTCAGGAAGTAAATAGAAATTCCTATTCAAGAAGTAAAACATTGCCTTCTAAAAATAAACGCCTTTCAATTATTAAGTTGGAATTCCAGTTCATCCCCTGAAGTGACTGAATTAAAATGGAATTGACTCCAACAAGTGTACTGTCAAGTTTAGATACTGTACAGTAACATGTTATGACTGATTGTTGGTTAAAAGCAGCAAACAAAATATATTTTTCTATACAAAGTCATTCTATGGTTGCGTTTACACAGGCAGTTCAATTATGATCTTTGCCACTAATTGGTCTTTTGATCAATCATATCTGATCTTTGTCCGACAATTGGGCAAAAGATGAGAAATGGGCTGCCTGTGTAAACGTAGCCTAACTAGACAGACCTTCGATGCATCTTGCTGTAGAGTAAATTATTTTCTTATCAAAAGGCAGATACTCCCCCATCAAGATGATTGGAAACGGATATACTCTATAATTCTGTCTAGAATATTTGACATTTACTGTAATCAAAAATAGATTGATTTATTGGTTTATAACACATATTTACTGGATCTAGTTTGATTTGATTTGATTTATTAGGATCCCCATTAGCCGATGCAAATTGCGACAGCTAGTCTTACTGGAGTCCGACACATAACGAAAAAGACATTACAGACAAAATACTTTACAATTGACATACAGTACCAGTCAAAAGTTTGGACACACCTACTCATTCAAGGGGTTTTCTTTATGTTTACTATTTTCTACATTGTAGAATAATAGTGAAGACATCAAAACTATGAAATAACACATATGGAATCATGTAGTAACCAAAAAAAGTGTAAACAAATCTATTTTACATTTGAGATTGTTCAAAGTAGCCATCCTTTGCCTTGATGACAGCTTTGCACACTCTTGGCATTATCTCAACAAGCTTCATGAGGAATGCTTTTCCAACAGTCTTGAAGGAGTTCCCATCTATGCTGAACACTTGTTGGCTGCTTTTCCTTCACTCAATTCCATCTCAATTGGGTTGAGGCCAGGTCATCTGATGCAGCATTCCATCATTCTCCTTCTTGGTCAAATAGCCCTTACACAGCCTGGAGGTGTGTTTTGGGTCATTGTCCTGTTGAAAAACAAATGATAGTCCCACTAAACGCAAACCAGATGGGATGGCTTTTCGCTGCAGAATAATGTGGTAGCCATGCTGGTTAAGTGTGCCCTGAATTCTAAATAAATCACCAAGTGTCACCAGCAAAGCACCACCACACCATCACACCTCCTCCTCCATGCTTCACGGTGGGAACCACACATGCAGAGATAATCTGTTCACCTACTCTGCGTCTCACAATGACACGGCGGTTGGAACCAAAAATCTCCAGACCAAAGGACAGATTTCCACCGGTCTAATGTCCATTGCTCATGTTTTTTGGCCTAAGCAAGTCTCTTCTTCTTATTGGTGTCCTTTAGTAGTGGTTTCTTTCCAGCAATTTGACCATGAAGGCCTAATTCACGCAGTCTCCTCTGAACTGTTGATGTTGAGATGTGTCTGTGACTTGAACTGTGTGAAGCATTTATTTGGGCTGCAATCTGAGGTGCAGTTAACTCTAATGAACTTATCCTCTGCAGCAGAGGTAACTCTGGGTCTTCTTTTCCTGTGGTGGTCCTCCTGAGAGCCAGTTTCATCATAGCGCTTGATGGTTTTTGCGACTGCACTTGAAGAAACGTTCAAAGTTCTTGACATTTTCCGGATTGACTGACCTTCATGTCTTAAAGTAATGATGGACTGTCGTTTCTCTTTGCTTATTTGAGCTGTTCTTGCCATAATATGGACTTGGTATTTTACCAAATAGGGCTATCTTCTGTATACCACCCCTACCTTGTCACAACACAACTGATTGGCTGAAACGCATTAAGAAGGAAAGAAATTCCACAAATTAACTTTTAACAAGGCACACCTGTTAATTAAAATGCATTCCAGGTGACTAATTCATGAAGCTGGTTGAGAGAATGCCAAGAGTGTGCAAAGCTGTCATCAAGGCAAAGTGTGGCTACTTCGAAGAGTCTCAAATATAACAAATATTTTGATTTGTTTAACACTTTTTTGGTTACTACATGATTACATATGTGTTATTTCATAGTTTTGATGTCTTCACTATTATTCTACAATGTAGAAAATAGTACAAATAAAGAAAAACCCTTGAATGAGTAGGTGTGTCCAAACTTTTGACTGGTACTGTACATTTAAAAACATGAACATGTAGTGTGTGTGTGCACCTATCAGTTACTCATACATGTCAGTACATACACACAACAAGTAGGTCACATGGGGGAGAGGCATTGTGCCGTGAGGTGTTGCTTTATTGTTTTTTTTAAAACTAAGTTTGCTGTTCACTTGCGCTATGTAAGATAGAAGGGAGTTCCATGCACTCATGGCTCTGTATAATACTGTACGTTTCCTTGAATTTGTTCAGGACCTGGGGACTGTGAAAAGACCACGTGGTGGCATGTAGCTTAGTGGTTAAGAGTGTTGTGCCAGTAACCGAAAGGTCGCTGGTTCTAATCCCCGAGCCGACTAGGTGAAAAATCTGTCGATGTGCCCTTGAGCAAGGCACTTAACCCTAATTGCTCATGTAAGTCGCTCCGGATAAGAGTGTCTGCTAAATGACAAAAATAAATAAAAATACAAAATAAAAATGTCAGGTGGGGTAAATGTGTGTGTCAGTGCTGTGTGCAAGTTGACTATGCAAACAATTTGGAATTTCCAACACATTCATGTTAATGTATTAAAACTAACAGAGTCAGTCTTTCCTTAACTCTTAGCCAAGAGAGACTGACATGCATAGTATTAATATTAGCCCTCTGATTACAATGAAGAGAAGATGTGCTGCTCCCCACGGGGGGCCAGTATAAAAAAAATATATAAATATATATGTATTCACTAACTGTAAATCGCTCTGGATAAGAGCGTCTGCTAAATGACTAAAATGTAAATGTAAATGTAGGCCAGCTGCAGCTTAACTAGGTCTTTCTTTGCAGCACTTGACCATATGACTGGACAATAATCAAGATAAGATAAAACTAGAGCCTGCAGGACTTGCAGTGTGGTGTCAAAAAAGCAGAGCATATCTTTATTAATGACAGACCTCTCCACATCTTTACTACCTTCAAATCTATATGTTTTGACCATGACAGTTTACAATATAAGGTAACCCCAAGTAATTTAGTCTCCTCAACTCCTCCTCAAATTGCTGGAGGACAGAGCCAAAACAAACAAAAAATGGTCACTGTCCCAATACTTTTGGAGCTCACTGTACATACATATTTATGTTGCTTAATTTGCCTATATTTCCCTAATACACCACAGATGCACACAGAGACACACTAACACATACTGTATTTTCCCGTTTGTGTGATGGTTACCGTTAATAAGGACTGCTACACCAACAATTAAAGGTGACAGTCTGCACTAACCTCATAGTCATTGTATCATTTCAAATCCAAAGTGCTGGAGTACAGAGGCAAAACAAAAAAAAAATTGTCACTGTCCCAATACTTTTGGAGCTCACTGTTGTTCTACTAAAGCTATGTGTGTGTGTGTTTGTGCTGCCACCAGTGTCCATTATTTGTATATGTTCTTCTAACATAGCTGTAATTCTGATTTCAGTGTCAAGCAACTGATACAACAATTGCTACATCAACAACCACAGCTACAACGATCCAACTTATAACAACCCTACCTACAACGATCCCACCTACAACAATTCCAACTACAACCCCTAAACCACGTAAGTGTTCAATCTCATACCCTGCATCATTTGACAGGTGATTGAGTTCTGCTTTAACTTTATGTACATGATATTTGAGTTTTACTGCAAGTAATAGCAAATGTGACAAAGTCCTCTTTTATCGATCAATGATATTGGTAAATATAAACAGACTATTTTCTGTTTTGTGTGTTAGCTCCCGCCAACGTAGATCATGTAGATGTGACAGAGCAAACTCAGACCAGTGTAACTCTGCAGTGGAACAAGCCAGCAAATGGAGTCTCCAGTTATCTGCTGAACTTTGGCGAAAAAGAAGAGATTCACATTAATGCATCAGAAGGGGTAACAGATATACACACAGTCTCACCTCTCACTGCTGGGACACAATATGGGTTCACTCTCTTCACTGTGTTTGAAGGCGTCAGGAGTACTGGATTCAACTATACTGCTGCCACTGGTAAGATGCATGACTTGATTTGAAATCTATGTGTAAAGATGTTTTAACAAAACCTGCATGTATGCTGTAGTGTCAAAGTTTAAAACAGAATTCAACAATGCGGTATAGTTTTGCATGGATTTCATGTATTTTACAAATTAACGAGTGGGTGACACATGATGTACTAATGTAGTCAGTCCTGAAGTGCATTCTTGTTAGAAGGGTCATATTTGATTTGCCTCTCTACTGTTTCAGCTCCCCGCAACGTAGCTGATGTCAAAGTGACAAGGCAAACTGAGACCAGTCTAACTCTTCAATGGAAGAAGGTGGAGGGGGAAGGGATCACTTATGTGCTGCAGTTCAACAATGGGACTAATACTACCATCCCTGTATCTGATACAAGTGAAACAGTGACATACACAGTCTCATCTCTCGATGCTGGGACAAAATACAACTTCTCTATATTCACTGTGTTTGAAAAATTACCAAGCAATGGATACAATGTGCTCACAATCACCCGTGAGTCTCTTTAAAATGGATTCTGTGTTATTTCTTGCATCCTTTAATGAGTTCACATGTCAATATGTTAGTAATGACATCATAGAAAATATTGAATCTATACTTTCTTAAATGTACAAAGTGAGTGACATTAGTTGTGAATACATTGTGAATGCATTGTGAAGGCATTAATTTACATTATCTTCCTGTTTTTCTATCTTAGGTCCCATCAGTGTAGATCGTGTCAATGTGACAAGGCAAACTGAGACCAGTCTAACTCTTCAATGGAAGAAGGTGGAGGGGGAAGGGATCACTTATGTGCTGCAGTTCAACAATGGGACTAATAATACCATCCCTGTATCTGATACAAGTGAAACAGTGACATACACAGTCTCATCTCTCGATGCTGGGACAAAATACAACTTCTCTATCTTCACTGTGTTTGAAAAATTACCAAGCAATGGATACAATGTGCTCACAATCACCCGTGAGTCTCTTTAAAATGGATTCTGTGTTATTTCTTGCATCCTTTAATGAGTTCACATGTCAATATGTTAGTAATGACATCATAGAAAATATTGAATCTATACTTTCTTAAATGTACAAAGTGAGTGACATTAGTTGTGAATACATTGTGAATGCCTTGTGAAGGCATTAATTTACATTATCTTCCTGTTTTTCTATCTTAGGTCCCCTCAGTGTAGATCGTGTAAATGTGACAAGGCAAACTGAGACCAGTCTAACTCTTCAATGGAAGAAGGTGGAGGGGGAAGGGATCACTTATGTGCTGCAGTTCAACAATGGGACTAATAATACCATCCCTGTATCTGATACAAGTGAAACAGTGACATACACAGTCTCATCTCTCGATGCTGGGACAAAATACAACTTCTCTATCTTCACTGTGTTTGAAAAATTACCAAGCAATGGATACAATGTGCTCACAATCACCCGTGAGTCTCTTTAAAATGGATTCTGTGTTATTTCTTGCATCCTTTAATGAGTCCATATGTCAATATGTTAGTAATGACATCATAGATAATATTGAATCTATACTTTCTTAAATGTACAAAGTGAGTGACATTAGTTGTGAATACATTGTGAATGCATTGTGAAGGCATTAATTTACATTATCTTCCTGTTTTTCTATCTTAGGTCCCATCAGTGTAGATCGTGTCAATGTGACAAGGCAAACTGAGACCAGTCTAACTCTTCAATGGAAGAAGGTGGAGGGGGAAGGGATCACTTATGTGCTGCAGTTCAACAATGGGACTAATAATACCATCCCTGTATCTGATACAAGTGAAACAGTGACATACACAGTCTCATCTCTCGATGCTGGGACAAAATACAACTTCTCTATCTTCACTGTGTTTGAAAAATTACCAAGCAATGGATACAATGTGCTCACAATCACCCGTGAGTCTCTTTAAAATGGATTCTGTGTTATTTCTTGCATCCTTTAATGAGTTCACATGTCAATATGTTAGTAATGACATCATAGAAAATATTGAATCTATACTTTCTTAAATGTACAAAGTGAGTGACATTAGTTGTGAATACATTGTGAATGCATTGTGAAGGCATTAATTTACATTATCTTCCTGTTTTTCTATCTTAGGTCCCCTCAGTGTAGATCGTGTAAATGTGACAAGGCAAACTGAGACCAGTCTAACTCTTCAATGGAAGAAGGTGGAGGGGGAAGGGATCACTTATGTGCTGCAGTTCAACAATGGGACTAATAATACCATCCCTGTATCTGATACAAGTGAAACAGTGACATACACAGTCTCATCTCTCGATGCTGGGACAAAATACAACTTCTCTATCTTCACTGTGTTTGAAAAATTACCAAGCAATGGATACAATGTGCTCACAATCACCCGTGAGTCTCTTTAAAATGGATTCTGTGTTATTTCTTGCATCCTTTAATGAGTCCATATGTCAATATGTTAGTAATGACATCATAGATAATATTGAATCTATACTTTCTTAAATGTACAAAGTGAGTGACATTAGTTGTGAATACATTTTGAATGCATTGTGAAGGCATTAATTTACATTATCTTCCTGTTTTTCTATCTTAGGTCCCCTCAGTGTAGATCGTGTCAATGTGACAAGGCAAACTGAGACCAGTCTAACTCTTCAATGGAAGAAGGTGGAGGGGGAAGGGATCACTTATGTGCTGCAGTTCAACAATGGGACTAATACTACCATCCCTGTATCTGATACAAGTGAAACAGTGACATACACAGTCTCATCTCTCGATGCTGGGACAAAATACAACTTCTCTATCTTCACTGTGTTTGAAAAATTACCAAGCAATGGATACAATGTGCTCACAATCACCCGTGAGTCTCTTTAAAATGGATTCTGTGTTATTTCTTGCATCCTTTAATGAGTCCATATGTCAATATGTTAGTAATGACATCATAGATAAATTGAATCTATACTTTCTTAAATGTACAAAGTGAGTGACATTAGTTGTGAATACATTGTGAATGCATTGTGAAGGCATTAATTTACATTATCTTCCTGTTTTTCTATCTTAGGTCCCCTCAGTGTAGATCGTGTCAATGTGGACAAGGCAAACTGAGACCAGTCTAACTCTTCAATGGAAGAAGGTGGAGGGGGAAGGGATCACTTATGTGCTGCAGTTCAACAATGGGACTAATACTACCATCCCTGTATCTGATACAAGTGAAACAGTGACATACACAGTCTCATCTCTCGATGCTGGGACAAAATACAACTTCTCTATCTTCACTGTGTTTGAAAAATTACCAAGCAATGGATACAATGTGCTCACAATCACCCGTGAGTCTCTTTAAAATGGATTCTGTGTTATTTCTTGCATCCTTTAATGAGTCCATATGTCAATATGTTAGTAATGACATCATAGATAATATTGAATCTATACTTTCTTAAATGTACAAAGTGAGTGACATTAGTTGTGAATACATTGTGAATGCATTGTGAAGGCATTAATTTACATTATCTTCCTGTTTTTCTATCTTAGGTCCCCTCAGTGTAGATCGTGTCAATGTGACAAGGCAAAATGAGACCAGTGTAACTCTGCAGTGGAACAAGGTGAAGGGAGAAGGGATCACTTATGAGCTGCAGTTCAGCAATGGGACTAATAATACCATCCCTGTATCTGATACAAGTGAAATAGTGACACACACAGTCTCATCTCTCGATGCTGGGACAAAATACAACTTCTCTATCTTCACTGTGATTGAAGATATCAGAAGTATTGGAAGTAAATTATCTGCAGTCACTGGTAAGATATTTTTTGGGGGGTGGATATAAGATTGTCCCTTACTATTTTAATTTCATTCACTCTTGTGTGATACAGTTAAAATGGATGTTGCTATAACCTTCATAAACCACAATGTTTTTTCTTCTTCTCAGAATTACACGTTAAATAGTAGATTTTTATTCATGCAATATAATTGTGGAATTGTCTAATACTGAAGAGGTATTGGGATAAAAACCTGCATGTGATACATGTTTCAAGATTAGCCATGTATAGTCCGTCTTGAAACAGTGCATTGAGTGTGTATGATTTAACGTTTCTTCTGTCTGTCTCTCTCTGTATCAGCTCCCCTCAATGTTGAGGCTGTCACTGCAACAGAGTCACACCGCACTGAGACCAGTGTAACTCTGGAGTGGAAAAGGCCGGCATATGGCGTCTCCAGTTATGTGTTGCAGTTCACCGATAAAGGACAGATACCCATTCCTATATTGGAAGAAACAGTGACACATACTGTTCAACTTCTCGATGTTGGGAAAAGATATGACTTCACCCTCTTCACCGTGTTTGATGGCATCTGGAGCAGTGGAGAAAGCAACTTCACAGTAACGAGTAAACATCCTTTTTTCCCCCTTGATTTCCAATCAGGTGTTGTTTGTGACTACACTGAATGTTAACAATTACATTTTTATATGTGTACTATGGAGAAAGGATTGAAGTAATTTGATACATAAAACTTTATTAATCCTCAAATGTGAAAGCTATTAACAGAATCCACTTGTTTTTTTCCCTACAGAAATAAACTGTGCTGTTTTACCCTGGAACGTTACTACCTCAACTATCGAGGCTAAAATCCCTGGGTTGTTCACCAGTGCGACAGCAACTAATGAAACTTACTCTGAAACCCATGACAATGCTGGTGATGGCAAAGTGTTATTCACTGACCTGTATCCTGGCTCAAATTATACAGTGTCTCTTCAGTATACAAATTATTCTAAAGACCTTAGGCAGTGTACACACACAGAGACTGTGGGTGAGTCACTTACTTTGTCAAGAACATTGTGTTTAGTCCATTAAATACAATTATTTAAAAAAGTATTTGATCCCCTGCTGATTTTGTACGTTTGCCCACTGACAAAGAAATGATCAGTCTATAATTTTAATGGTAGGTTTATTTGAACAGTGAGAGACAGAATAACAACAAAAAAATCAAGAAAAACGCATGTCAAAAATGTTATGAATTGATTTGCATTTTAATGAGGGAAATAAGTATTTGACCCCTCTGCAAAACATGACTTAGTACTTGGTGGCAAAACCCTTGTTGGCAATCACAGAGGTCAGACGTTTCTTGTAGTTGGCCACCAGGTTTGCACACATCTCAAGAGGGATTTTGTTCCACTCCTCTTTGCAGATCTTCTCCAAGTCATTAAGGTTTCGAGGCTGACGTTTGGCAACTCGAACATTCAGCTCCCTCCACAGATTTTCTATGGGATTAAGGTCTGGAGACTGGCTAGGCCACTCCAGGACCTTAATGTGCTTCTTCATGAGCCACTCCTTTGTTGCGTTGGCCCTGTGTTTTGGGTCATTGTCATGCTGGAATACCCATCCACGACCCATTTTCAATGCCCTGGCTGAGGGAAGGAGGTTCTCACCCAAGATTTTACGGTACATGGCCCCGTCCATCGTCCCTTTGATGCGGTGAAGTTGTCCTGTCCCTTTAGCAGAAAAACACCCCCAAAGCATAATGTTTCCACCTCCATGTTTGACGGTGGGGATGGTGTTCTTGGGGTCATCACCTTTATGACTTGGAGAAGATCTGCAAAGAGGAGTGGGACAAAATCCCTCCTGAGATGTGTGCAAACCTGGTGGCCAACTACAAGAAACGTCTGACCTCTGTGATTGCCAACAAGGGTTTTGCCACCAAGTACTAAGTCATGTTTTGCAGAGGGGTCAAATACTTATTTCCCTCATTAAAATGCAAATCAATTCATAACATTTTTGACATGCGTTTTTCTAGATTTTTTGGTTGTTATTCTGTCTCTCACTGTTAAAATAAACCTACCATTAAAATTATAGACTGATCATTTCTTTGTCAGTGGGCAAATGTACAAAATCAGCAGGAGATCAAATACTTTTTTCCCTCACTGTATATTATTAGCCTAGCATTATTGTATATGGGACACCTGTAGGATAGTGACTTTAGCAGGCAGTTAATGTTATGTGACATCTTCCTTTGTTTTAATCAGTTCCCCCAGACCTAACAGGAAAATGTGACTATCTGTCCGGCGGCTACGCTTTCTCTCTGTCCTGGGATGCGCCGGAGGGACTATGGACCAGTGTGGAGGTGAATGTAGCTGGGAAAAGCCCTCAGCAGGTGAAGGGAGAGCAGGTGATGGAGGCTGAAATCACTGGGGTTCAACCTGCCCAGACCTATCAAGTGACTTTGGTCTCAATCTCTGGGCCTCGCAGGAGTATCAAGGCTTTCTCTTTCAGCTGTCATACAGACCCAAGGGGTGAGTGAGACTGGCATTTATCTTTAACTCATGTTTAAAGGTTCAACAATTGGTCATTGATATCTGTAGTACTGCTGATGTAACAGTAGCTACACACAGCATGATGTGATAAACACGGTAAACCAAGGCATCTCACCAGCTTCCTGTATTCAAAAGGAAGTGCAAAAATATAAACACAATGTAAAGTGTAAAGTGTTGGTTCCATGTTTCATGAGCTGAAATAAAAGAATGCATACATTTTCCATACGCACAAAAAGCTTATTTCTCTCACATTTTTGGCACAAATTTGTTTACATCCCTGTAAGTGAGCATTTATCCTTTGCCAAGATAATCCATCGACCTGACAGGTGTGGCATATCAAGAAGCTGATTAAACTGTGTTGTGTAAATTCTAACACAGGGACACTCGAATCATTGTTTGAATCATTGTTTATTGTCAGCAAGCTGGAGAGGTCACAGTCAAACTTAGATGCATAAAGTACCGGTCTGAAGTGAGCTCTAACGGGGCAGTCCTGTTAGTTCTCTTATATACTGCAGACAAGTCATATTTGCATGATTTAGCTTATTCATAAGTTGAGACCTTGAAACTGAGATATCCCTTTCTCTAAACAAGGTTCTGGGCGTACAGCCCAATTGCAGATACTGATAGTGAGGATTCGTTCAATCAGTCACTTGCATGAACACAGAAATTGGTTTATAGAAAAGCACAAACGGAGAACACAGAAATGTATAAATAGAAAAGCACCAACATAACATTTTCCATCACAACAGCATGATCATTACACAGGTGCACCTTGTGCTGGGGACAATAAAAGGCCACTCTAAAATGTGCAGTTTTGTCACACAACACAATGCCACAGATGTCTCAAGTTTTGAGGGAGCGTGCAATTGGCATGCTGACTGCAGGAATGTCCACCAGAGCTGTTGCCAGAGAAGTGAATTGTCACGATCGTCGACTGATGAAGACACGGACCAAGGCGCAGCGTGATAGACGTACATACTTTATTTAGTACACACATGAACCAAAACAACAAAACGATACGTGAAGTCCTAGGTCATACAACACAAACCTTACGGATCAAGATCCCACAATAAACTAGTGAAAACAGGCTGCCTAAGTATGGTCCCCAATCAGAGACAACGAGCTACAGCTGTCTCTGATTGGGAACCACCCTGGCCAACATAGAAATAAACGATCTAGAACAAAACCCATAGAAAACTAAACATAACAAGTACACACACTGGCTCAACATTTAAGAGTCCCCAGAGCCAGGGCGTGACAGTACAACCCCCCCAAAGGCGCGGACTGCGACCGCGCCAACCAAACACAACAGGGGAGGGGCCGGGTGGGCATTCCGCCTCGGAGGCGGATCCGGCTCCGGGCGTGACCACCACTCTCCCTCTAGCCCCCCGTAGCGCCCCTGGTCTGGTCCCGCTGGCCGGAGCTGGACTGGACACCGGTGGAGCGGATTGCTCTGGCTCCGGAGTGGAGCAGCTGACCGGTGCCGGACCAGGCACCAGTGGAACAGGCACGGACCGTGCCGGACTGACGACGCGCACCACTGGCTTGGTGCGGGGAGCAGGAACGGGCCGGACCGGGCTGACGACGCGCACCACTGGCTTCGTGCGGGGAGCAGGAACGGGCCGGACCGGGCTGGCGACGCGCACCACAGGCTTGGTTGGGGAGCAGGAACAGGCCGGACCGGGCTGGCGACGCGCACCACTGGCTTGTTGCAGGGAGCAGGAACGGGCCGGACCGGGCTGGTGACGCGCACCACAGGCTTGGTGCGGGGAGCTGGAACAGGCCGGACCGGGCTGGCGACGCGCACCACAGGCTTGAAGATGAGAGAGGCCTGTAATTTTCATCATAGGTATACGTCAACTATGACAGACAAATTCAGGAAAAAAAATCCAGAAAATCACATTGTAGGATTTTTTATGAATTTATTTGCAAATTATGGTGGAAAATAAGTATTTGGTCACCTACAAACAAGCAAGATTTCTGGCTCTCACAGACCTGTTGTCACGATCGTTACATGAAGCGGACCAGGCACCGGTGGAACAGGCACGGGCCGTGCCGGACTGACGACGTGCACCACTGGCTTGGTGCGGGGAGAAGGAACGGGCCGGACCGGGCTGACGACGCGCACCACTGGCTTGGTGCGGGGAGCAGGAACGGGCCGGACCGGGCTTACGACGCGCACCACTGGCTTGGTGCGGGGAGCAGGAACAGGCCGGACCGGGCTGGTGGCGCGCACCACTAGCTTGTTGCGCGGAGCAGGAACGGGCCGGACCGGGCTGACGACGCGCACCACTGGCTTTGTGCGGGGAGCCGGAACGGGCCGGGCCGGACTGTGGAGGCGGACTGGAGGTCTGGAGCGGAGAGCTGACACAACCCGTCCTGGGTGCCTACTTCCACACAATATGTGTGAGGCATCAGCACAGGACGTACAGGGCTGTGCACACGTACTGGCGCTACAGCACGTGGCACTGGCGCAGGATATACGGGACCGAGGAGGGGTACTGGAGGCCACGAGCGTTGAGCCGGCACACTCTGTCCTGGCTGCATGCCCACCTTAGCACGACACGTGCGTGGTGCTAGCACAGGACGTACAGGACTGTGCCGGAACACTCGCGGCACAGTACGTGGCTCCGCATAACACGGAGCCTGCCCTTTTAGCCCCCACCAAATATTTTCTTGGGGCTGTCTCTCGGGCTTCCTCCTCGGCCGGTACCCACTGCGTTGCCGCTGCTCCTCTCTGTAGCGCGCCTCCACAGTCTCCTCCCAAGGACGGCGATCCATTCCGGCCTGGATCTCTTCCCAAGTCCAGGATCCCTTCCCGTCCAGGATCTCCTCCCAAGTCCAGGCTGTCTGTTCCTGGACACGCTGCTTGGTCCTCCTTTGGTGGGATCTTCTGTCACGATCGTTACATGAAGCGGACCAAGGTGCAGCGTTATATGCGTACATCTTTTATTTAGTACGCACACGAACAAAACAATAAACCAAATGATACGTGAAGTCCTAGGTTAATCCAAAACAAACCTTACGGAACAAGATCCCACAAATGACAAGTGCACAACAGGCTGCCTAAGTATGGGTCCCAATCAGAACAACAAGACACAGCTGCCTCCGATTGGGAACCACCCCGGCCAACACAGAAATACATAATCTAGAAAGAACACATAGAAAACAAAACATAGACACTACACATAGAAACTAAAACCCTGGCTCAACATATAAGAGTCCCCAGAGCCAGGGCGTGACACCTGTAACTTCTTCTTTAAGAGGCTCCTCTGTCCTCCACTCGTTACCTGTATTAATGGCACCTGTTTGAACTTGTTATCAGTATAAAAGACACCTGTCCACAACCTCAAACAGTCACACTCCAAACTCCACTATGGCCAAGACCAAAGAGCTGTCAAAGGACACCAGAAACAAAATGGTAGTCCTGCACCAGGCTGGGAAGACTGAATCTGCAATAGGTAAGCAGCTTGGTTTGAAGAAATCAACTGTGGGAGCAATTATTAGGAAATGGAAGACATACAAGACCACTGATAATCTCCCTCGATCTGGGGCTCCACGCAAGATCTCACCCCGTGGGGTCAAAATGATCACAAGAACGGTGAGCAAAAATCCCAGAACCACACGGGGGGACCTAGTGAATGACCTGCAGAGAGCTGGGACCAAAGTAACAAAGCCTACCATCAGTAACACACTACGCCGCCAGGGACTCAAATCCTGCAGTGCCAGACGTGTCCCCCTGCTTAAGCCAGTACATGTCCAGGCCCGTCTGATGTTTGCTAGAGTGCATTTAGATGATCCAGAAGAGGATTGGGAGAATGTCATATGGTCAGATGAAACCAAAATAGAACTTTTTGGTAAAAACTCAACTCGTCGTGTTTGGAGGACAAAGAATGCTGAGTTGCATCCAAAGAACACCATACCTACTGTGAAGCATGGGGGTGGAAACATCATGCTTTGGGGCTGTTTTTCTGCAAAGGGACCAGGACGACTGATCCGTGTAAAGGAAAGAATGAATGGGGCCATGAATCGTGAGATTTTGAGTGAAAACCTCCTTCCATCAGCACCCATTGAAGATGAAACGTGGCTGGGTCTTTCAGCATGACAATGATCCCAAACACACCGCCCGGGCAATGAAGCAGGGGTTTCGTAAGAAGCATTTCAAGGTCCTGGAGTGGCCTAGCCAGTCTCCAGATCTCAACCCCATAGAAAATATTTGGAGGGAGTTGAAAGTCTGTGTTGCCCAGCGACAGTGTGTGAAAACCTTGTGAAGACTTACAGACAACGTTTGACCTGTGTCATTGCCAACAAAGGGTATATAACAAAGTATTGAGAAACTTTTGTTATTGACCAAATACTTATTTTCCACCATAATTTGCAAATAAATTCATAAAAAATCCTACAATGTGATTTTCTGGAAAAAAAATCTCATTTTGTCTGTGATAGTTGACGTGTAACTATGATGAAAATTACAGGCCTCTCTCATCTTTTTAAGTGGGAGAACTTGCACAATTGGTGGCTGACTAAATACTTGTTTTCCCCACTGTATATTGTGATCACTACATCCTATGGATTTGGATACTGCTTTAAAGCACATTTCTGCAGCATTAGTAAGATGTGATCAATACATGTTGATGATTTCATTTCTGTGCTTTTTGTAAATACCCTGGTAAGTTGACTGACAACCTGAACCAGGTTGCAGGCACTGGTTACAGTTTGAAGTTGTTTCTTGAGTGGGCAGCTTAATGAGAGCCAGTCAATATTTACAATAACCCAGAAAATATACTTCTCTGTTGATATCACATACATTATCAAGCATTTCACACATATTATCCAGATACTGACTGTTAGCACTTGGTGGTCTTTAGCAGCTTCCTACAAGAATGGGCTTTAGGTGAGGCAGATGAACCTGTAGCCATATTACTTCAACAGTATTTTACATGAGATCGTCTCTAAGCTTTACAGGAATGTGGTTCTG